CTACAAAACCTCCTGCTTCTAATTGTTCATCAACACGTCTGTTGAATGGAAGTAATGGCAAAACTCAACTACCAGTTCACAAGCAGATATCCACTAAATCATCCAATCACGTGTCTTTCAACCTACACAATTCTCAAGGTGAGTTTTTTGTTCTAAAAATGGCAATACAATATTTTCTACCAGTTACTGTATCACATGTATCTTTTTTTGCATATCGATGTTAATTATTACAAAGACGATGAGTTTTTATTTCATTAACTACTAACCGTCAGTTGCTTTGATAATATCGGCTAAACATGCCTATCATATTTTGAAGTCGATTTTTTAAAATTTATCATATTAGTGTTACGTGTTATAGCTTCACACATATATAATTAAACCGGTTGTTTTCAATGCCTTAAGTATTCAACAAGTTCATCAAGTCAAGGACTTACGGCAGATTTTCTCATCGTTGGGTGAGTTAGTGACGTATTATCATCATAGCTACACATTGTTTTGATCTCTTTTGTAATTACTCTCTTCATGTTAATTTCGTTTCTGAAACGTTATTGACAGAAATCAAAAGAAAATGACGGAAAATCTATTGATCATGATCTGAAGGATGAATCAATAAGTTTTCAATCGTCTAGTTAAGAACAATAATCTGATCAATTTCATAGACATTGCTTATGGTTAGATAGGCATTAGTGTAGATTTGATTTGATTATTAAATGTTATATGCTCTTTGATAATTTAGATTATCAGCCTCAAGAAATCCAAACAAGTTTGCTAGACGAAAAATCGAAATTATTTACATTTCAATCACTGAATTTGCCTCAAATATTATTTCCACAAATACTGCATGCTACCTTCTAATCCACAATATATTTGATTAGAAATTGATACTTCTTCGTGAAAGGAGGTTAGGTATAAATTTACTACGGAATCTAAGACATTTGAGAAAGCTGTCTAGCTTTGAATGTATTCGCAACCATTTACCCATGAGACTACAACGACTATAATATGAATGAGGTTCAAAATGGATAATAGCTCGTAAATTTCTGATCCAAATCTTATGATTTGATAAAGCAGTTATATATAATTTGTTTCAAAAAGTTAAAATTATGGCACAAAATAGTCCTTCTAATCAAGTATGGAATTATTTTTGAACGTAAATTGTCAGGAATCTGATCTCCGAGTATTCAAGATCCGTATAGTTTTGTGTGGCAGAACTTATCAAGTTGCCAGTATCTGTAAACCATTTCTCCTCTCATAGGTTTGTGTATCTCTTTTTTAATAGTTTAATTCCTGAGTCTATCTAAGCTAGGCCACCACTGAAAACCTAGAAGCATTGAATGGACTTTTCATCTTAGTGACTAGTTTCAAAATGAATTTCCTGGAAAAGCCGTGACCAGTGCAATTCTCTCCATGTTGGGTATGAAGCAGTTATCCACTTCAGACAGTGGATGAAGGTTTGTGCAAGATCATGGATCGATTGAAGTTAGACATTAGCACCGGTGGATGCTAGCTCGGTAGTCTAGAAGTTAAGAATTCGTACGTGAGACAGAAGGTTACTGGTTCGAGTCCCGTGTGTGGTATCGTGAATGCACACTGCTGAGGACTCCCATATTAGAATGAAACGGCCGTTCAATTTATCCAGGTTTCCAGTGGTTGTCTAGCTTAACTCAATTCATGAGTTGAACTTATAAAATTACTATTTTCTCCATAAATCCCCATCCTGATAATATCTCTTTTTTGATGTGATCAGTTTATTAGCATTATTAATTTCGCGATGTGTAAACATATCATCCGAATAAATATTAACACGTGTGTAATTTACATCAACAATTTATAGTCAATGCCATACCTGTCCAACTTAATCTTTTATAGTGTGTAAACGGATATTACAAATCGATTGTTTACAAAGTATCTTGTGATACTTATAGAAAGATAATATTATTGTTATGATTATTTTTCTTTTAAAAGTGTCATAATAATTTCAGATCATGCTGTTCCAAAAGGATACAATAATAGTTACATTTGTCTCCCTCCCCCCTCTCTCTCTTTATATATATATATATATATATCGAGGCAATCCGCACAGGATGCACATATGCCAACAAGAGAGTGATCAATCGCAGTCTTAAATAACAATGGGAAGATACAAGTAAAACAACACCAAGTAAATATATATAAATGTATCCAGCTGAGTGTATAAAACCTATGTTATTGTTATCTATCTGCACAACTTTCAATAATAAGCGCGTTTCTGTCTTTCAAATTACTTTTATTCTCCTAAAAAATTTATTTGTTTAAAATTCTTCAAAAACCCTAATTACAAATGAATAAATATCCCATTGTAAATTGTTCGAAATATATTAGATATTTTTTGGGATCAGTCATTCCACAGGTCTTAATTTTAAGGCGTTCACAGTAGTAACATGTTGATCTATTTAGACTAGAATTAAAAAGAATTAAGATCATTTCTTTAAAGTAGTGAGTTTGTGAAGGTCAATCATTCAGATGTAAAATCTCACATCCAACTGACACCAATCATAAAGCCAATGAAAACTAAACAGATCTTCTATCCTAGCTTTAAACTACTCTGTGATAAACTTTACTTGTTATGCTGCAATGTAATTGCATTTGATGAATAAAATTGGTTTTCGATTCCTTCTTCAGTCATCACTCTCTTTTCCATGGAATTTTACGGTAAGAAGTGAATAGTTTTTGCAGCTCTACTTATGATAAAGGATCAATTTAAGCCTAAATTCAATAGGCAGTTAGTATATTATTATAACCTTAGGTTAAGAAGTGAACGTATTTAAATTTATACGAGTGATCAGAAAGTGTTAAGCATTTTCCTTGATCGATTTGGTTTTTATGTTTGATGTGAAATATGATTGATGTCCTGAGTACATGTTCAACTGAGAGTCGTAAAAACAGTTTGGATTTCAGTAGATAGTTCTTAAGAACTTCAAACTACTAAATAGTATCCTTTTGGTAAACACTATTTCAAAACAAAATATTTACACTTCGTACACATGTGAAAACTATTCTTAATTAGTAAAATCTATCTCATTGACTTAGGTATAAAAAATATAGTATAGTTTAGACGGAAACTAACAAACCATTAAGTTAATACGGTATGCCGGACTTACTATTAAACTAATTAGCGGTATAGCACTATATGCTTTATTAGGTATAACAACTCACGAATCTTACTTAAGTTTTCAACCTGATAGCATTCACTACCAACGTTTATGTTTAAGAAGTTTGTAAACAGGTCATTGTGAATGTTATATTTGACTAGTTCTAAAATATTACCTCATTTTTATCGTAAACTGTATTCAACATTTAAGTGTGACGTAATAATAAACCGAACAATTATCTGATAAGTTAACAAGAAAATATAACCTACAAACTGAGTTTTTACCTTAAATTGGTGTCATTTTTAGTTGTATCTTCCCATTGTTATTTAGGACTGCAATTGATCAGTCTTATGTGGGCATATGTGCAGGTACATCCAGCTGACGAGTCCCAAATAGAACGAGACGCTCGTCCTGGATTCCACTGTTAGCCACTATCACTCTTTGAGTTTTTTGACCTTTTGAAAAAAATATTTGTGTCGCTTACTTCTCTTTTTTGGTCGCTTTTTTTCTTAATTTTGTTATGAATCCATTTGTTTAAAATTTTGCTTTAGAGAAAAAAATACTACAAATCGTTGCCTAGACAATTTTGATTAAAATGGAGACGATTCAAATTTATTGATTTTATTTTTGGTAAAACTTTAATTATCAGAAAAATTAACACAACTAACAGTTTCAATGATTCTTTGTCTATCATATACTTCCATAGGTCTACCTATTGTCTGGGTTTTCTATTAAGTCGCACATCAAACTAAACATTGTATCAAATAGGAAACAATTTATTTTGAATAAAGGGATTCTTTAGTGATATTATTATTTATGGTTTTGTTTAAATGAATTGTGAAAATATAAAACAAAAAGTATGAAAATGACTTGTCTGTACATTATAACTTCTTAGGATTGACTGATTGAAATGTAGATAATGACAAGGTCTTTCATTTCACCTGTACAGTCAATCCATGGATAATTTATAACTCACCAACTTAAGTTATGTCTTGTTTCAAGTTTTCATTCGAATTTGAACCGATTAAATGTTATACTTCGAAGTGAATGAAAAATGAGAATTATTCCTGAATTAAATTTTTAACAGAATGGGTTTTGTGGAGAGTTTTAGAAATTTTCACAGATTGAAATCATGAGTCAGTTGAAGCTAGACCACCATGGTGGTCTCTACACAAAACCTATTCTGATAATAATCAACTGCTCATTAGTGACTGACTTCAAGAAAAACTCCTGGAGTTCTAGTGAGAAGCCGTTACCAGTGGAGTTCAACCGGTCTGTTGTGAGATAACAACTCACTGAAGACAATGGTGTACGGTGGCGCAACTTCGTGGATTGGTTGAAGTTAGACATTAACACCGTCGGATGCCGGCTCAGTGGTCTAGTGGTTAAGTGCTCGCGCGCGAAGCCAGTAGGTCCTGGGTTCGAGCCCCGCGTGGTGCGGGATCGTGGATGCGCACTGCTGAGGAGTCCCATACTAGGACGAAACGGCCGTCCAGTGCTTCCAGGTTTTCCATGGTGGTCTAGCTTCAACTGACTCATGATTTCAATCTGTGTAAATTTTTAAAAAAAGATTATATCCACTGTCAACGTAACGGAAATCATACGGATTTTGTGTGAAAGTCTGTTTAATTTATCAAATGGTTCAGTTTAGGTAACGCAATACAAAATGTTATCATTCTGAACTATAAACATTTTTATTCTGATTGTAGTTTCAATAAGGCCATCCTAGAAGTGTATCATATGACGAATATCTTAGGAACTCTTCAATAGTTGTAAACATCTTACTACATAGTTTGTTTCAGAACCTCAGTTTACTCCTTTCTTTGAACATCCAGAATAAATTGTAATAATCTCTAGCTATGATAACTAAGTTCTGGTATTTACAAATTTCATCTGTCAGGAGTATGTAAATTTACCTTACATTTGGTAATCTATTTAAGATTAGTAGGCAATTTTCACCATAACAGTCATATTAGTATTATTAACATCCGAGTTTGGAAAATTAACTTTCTTAAATATCTCATTTTCTCATTATTAAACTATCCCATCAAAAACTATACATTTGATCTATTACCAGGTAATTTATTTACCAGGTTATCTGTGTTCTCACATTTTTTGATCGGGAAAAAACGCATGTATTCAAATATTTTTGTATTATTTTGATTGATAAACTTTTCCATAGAAGTTCATGGATGAATTCATTCTTTGTATCGTGTTACTTTTAAAGAATATTGTCCTATAAACTATTAATTCAGTTACGTATTTATCATTTATTATTACAGGATCTTCCCAATTTGTAGTTGATAAGCTTAAAGCGGAAAAAATATTCCCAAACTATTGGATATCAGGTGAATTATTGAAAAATCTAGGTTTTGTAATCAAAATTACATAATTTATTTATTCAATAAGAAAACCGGTGAAATATGGACACCAACATAGGCGTCATATTTAGATAAGAAAACATTATGAAGTTATTAAGAAGTTCTTATAACCAATAAATCTACGGCGACATACATTTAAAATACGTTTCTTTATAAGACTTATTTACGTCATAAGTCAACTTGGATTGGGAACAAACAAAAACTACTCTACAATAAATGCATATTTCCAGTCACTTTCTTGTATAAGAACAGATTACTTGAATCATAGAAATAGTTTTGATACACCAGTAGATGATAACTTATCAGTGAAATTATTCTTCAAGTTTAATTTGTAACTGTTATACCAAATTATTTTCATTCACTACTCGTCTTTATTTAATTTAAAGTTATTTTTCTTGAAATTAATGCTTATGGTGATTTAAATTTTTTATTTACTTGGGACTATTTACTTATTAAATTAGTTACTGTATTTGAATTTGAGCCATACTTTCGGTGTAACAAATAGTGATGCAACCCGGCTCTCAGATAAACAGTTGTTGCTTCACTATGTGAAGAGAAAATTTGAAAAGTGAATCATTTTAAACGAACTCTTTTTACTTGTAAATCATCATTCCTCGTAAATTAATATTAAGAAGTTAATGTGAGGTCTTGTTTTATCTTGAGTGGAAAATTTTAGAAAACCAGTGGGACATGACGTCAATGAAACATATTTATAGTCACTTGTCAAATTAAGAAGTTTTAATAGTTGAATTCATGATTCGATCTAAGCTAGACCACCATTGAAAACCCGGAAACACTGAACGGACGTTTCGTCTACCTCAGATAATGGATGAGAGGTTGCACAAGATCTTGGATCGATTGGAGTTAGATATTAACACTCTGGATGCCGTCTTACTACTTTTTTATGTTAATTTGCAATTTGTGCATTAGAATTGGGAAGGAAAGTACACCAAAAGACTCACGAAAATTGGAATTCAAGAGAGACAGACTATCATAGTACCACTCATGTTGTGCAATTAAGCTCAAGTTAATAGTATACGATTTGTAAATTATTATCCATAACCAATTTAAATTGTTCAATATGGTTGGAAGATCTCTTTTCACGAAAATAATTCTCCATTCAGTCAGATGCTCCAGTCAAGGCACCAAAAAAATATGATGATTGATTAGACATCTTCTAGAAGTAATGATGAGATGCTAATATTGTTTAAAAATGTGGTCCCGTTTTTAATATTTTTCCCTTAATATCGATTCAATGATGACCAAAATATACTTGCAATTGCAGTTTAATGCAGATTGGTATTATATATATGCTTAAATACATTAAATTTAAATATCCACAGGGCTCCGGAGCTTAGGATAGAGATTAATTCAGTCTTTTGGGCTTAGATTCAGCATCGTGTGTTAGGACACAGTGTCGGAAATTCAGTTAATGTAGCCAACTTGAAACACCGACTTTGGTCGCTTGGACGTCTTACGAATTTTGTTCCAGTGAATTCCCCCACGTGCATCAGTTACCAACGCTGGGAACGGTTAGAAAAAACAGAAAAGTGGCCAGTGCACGACATGGCATCGTGGTGTGAAACGAAGCCATACAGGGCTGGCTTCTGCTGGTCTTTCACGGCTTCCTGGTTGTGGTCCTACAGATGGTACAATACAGTGGCTTGAAATGTCATCAGATATGTCTCAGAATAAAAGCCAGTGGTGATCCTGCTGTAGCATTCTTTTACTTTCCACATAAAAGTGGACATAACTTCTTTAACCAAAAGAGTTCTTTCTGTTTGTATTTTTCCTAACTGAACGTTTTCTCCCTTTATTATTATTATTTCACTCTTATACAATCACTTCTTTTCATTGTTACTATACTCACCCCGTATTATTTATCCATTCTCAACCTTACTATTATTATGTGATGCACATGTATTTGGTTTCTCTTTTTACGAATGTGTATGTGTTCAAATAAAGAAATAAATGGGCTTATAACCGCTGATTATCAACTAGCATTAAATACCTACTTTAACTTAGACGAAAGACTCTTTAACGTTTATCAATGAACTGTGGTTAATATCTATCCATAGGTGAAAAGTATTTACGAATATTATTTAATTCATTTAATGTATTTTGCTAACTTAAAAGTTTTTCCGTTGGGAAATGTTTTAGCTAATCAAAGCACTGTACCAGAGTTTACATTCTTTTTTCTATTCTAACAAAATTACATTAGACATGAAAATAACATTTTTTCTCTTTCGGTACGTCTGTTTTCTTTTTTTTCTTCAATTTATCAACATTTTTTTCATGACACTTACATCAGAAATACAATCAATAGCGTAGAAGATCGAAAAAAAAACCCAACGAACATGTTAAATTCTTGAAAACAAACTTTCACATTATTCATCGATTGTTATATACTCTACGACTAACTATATGTACATACATCTCCATATATATACATATCCTTAAATGTTTGTATGCCATTTCGAACCATGCAATTGATTTACGATAATGAATGTTAGACATGGAACTATTTTATCTGTCATTTTATATTCTTCGCCTACTTTTAACATTTAAGAATGAATAATTATGCACTAGGATCGAATGAATACAGAAATCATTTCACTGCATTTATAACCAATAAACAAATAATGAACTAAAGTTATGTATTTTTATGTGTTCACTTCAATATGATGTTCAATATATAAGAGTACTATTAAATTCTCTCATTAAACGGAAGAAATTTTCAATAGTTATTAGAATATCTGGAGATAATGTTAAATACACTTAAATAAGTCAATGATAAATTTAATTCTATGCATTCCAAATAACGTTGTATGTATAGTTTCTCTGTCGGTTAAAGTTTTAAAATGCTATATCATTCATTTCAATTGTTTTCGTCGTTATATTGTTAATTATAACTAGAAATGTAGTGTATGATTCCTGACTTAGACCCATTTATATTTTGTCTGTTTTAAAAATGTTATCTCGCTGATTACTAAAGTAAAAATGAAAGCGATGTACTGTTTAGCTTATATTTGTTGACATTCATAAGGAAGTGCTGTTCTGAAACTTAAAATTCGATCCCCTATAAAGTGTTTTTGGGTTTTATTGCTAAGGTAACGGTTAATTTATAGTTGTGGTGTTGAAAAAGTTTCATAATACTTAATGTGAAATTCCTATACCACATATTATATTTGGTTTGGTTTAAAGTCAACTTCATATCGGTCTTATTCCTTGTCAAACTCTCTTAGCTAAAATACTAATGCTAAAAAGACCTCAAAATTCATATGTTTGTATGTTAAATATTTTCCATGGGTAATAATCCATATATCTATCAAGTACTTTTATTTCTACCTCATAAGCTTTTTTTAGTGTATTAGTTACGAGTTTTCTAGAGTTACGTAATATACATTGAAATTTCGCATCTTGAGGAAACAGTAAAACATTTTGTGCAAATGACCAGTCCTCCCTTTTTCTTAATCCATGCTTTGCGTCATATACAACATATAATAGGTTAACATAATTCGTGGAGTAACTATTCTATCCCTGCCACCTTTTGATAAATGAAGACTTTAATCGTATGGGCAAAATATTTGATTATCATGAGACGCTAATCGATATCAAGTGGTATAGTCACCAATGACAATTCTGATAATAATCTTTTCTATTCCGCGTCTACTATTTTTTGGTCGCCTGGTGTTGTGCAGTTAACCAATTTTATGTCTGATTACCTCTGACTCAAGCGAAATTCTTTTAGGCTCACTATACTCAAACCTTTCTCTATTCCTTGCCTTGAGTCTAAAAAAATGTCACTAACCAGCTTGTATTATATCATATTTCAAGTACGTGGGTTTGTCACGATTATGCATAAACAAGTCAAAAATAACTATGAATGGCGTAGTCTGTAAATAATTAATTGGTAGTTAATTAAGGATGATAAGCATAATTAATAAATAATGGACCAAACGAAAGCATATAATTAATGAAATGTATAAAAGTAGTAGTTCAGTTACATAGTAATTAAACTTCAATAATTTAAATAATTATACTACGAAAAACCGTTCCAAAAGTTCCAACTTTTACAGTATTCATCCCGTTATAACAAATTCCGTAGACATATTTGTGAGCTATTATTAATAATCAACTATTGTGTTGTAATCATATTCATTACCAATGATTATTGGTGATTAGATTCTACCAAACTCTCATCTTAAATAAGTTAGTTTAAAATATAATTAGTATACTATGAAATTTGTACTTAGTAACCACCTTTTCTCACACCATACAGTTAATAAAATTATTTCTTCTAAAACTAATCAGCCGCACTGAACAACTATGCAGTTAATTTTCTGTTAGTTTTAAATTCCCATTGGAAATTAATACCATGGGAAAATTTTGAGGATACGGTTAGGCCTCAAAATAACCGAACCTGAATTCTGAGCAAAATTTATATTGATTACAATTGCTGAGACAATTTTGGGACTACTTAATATGTAAGAAATGATACTTTCCAAATTTTTATATGGTTAAAACAAAAAAACGGCTAAAATATAATTAATACTGTATGCATTACATTACGTTAGCCATTTAATATAAAAATTATTTGTCTCTTCAAGTAAATAAAGTGTTATATTTGTTAATTAATGAATGGGCGAAGTAAGCATTAATTTCACATTGTAACCTCCGTATCAACCTAAATTTAACATAATTGATTGCTCTGAAGAATTCGCAATTGATTTGTTAATATTATTTCGAAAGAACTTTTCCTAATCATCCACTTATAATATCCCACAAATACTTGTACTAGACACATTATTATAAAGTGTTCCCATTTCACATGACGTTTATACATTCTAATGCATTTCAGAGTGTGAACAAGGATAAAGGAATGCATTATTCACTATGTTGTTTCATTCGTGCATTTTACTGACTTCAGCATGACTATATATTGTGATGTTCATACAAAAGCAATTGAATATACTGTGGGATTTGTAGACATGAATAATAAGCTAATACAATTTCGGAGCGAAAGATTTCATTCAATAATTTAGAAAGTTTAACAACTGTGGCTATCAGATATTAGTAGAAACTTGCCATTTGATTAACCTGTCACCCTACACCATAAATAAATTCAAAGTTATTTACTTGATGATAACATATATTATAAATGTGCTATGTGGAATTACAGATTTTTAGTGTAAAAAATAATTGGACATAATAATTTAAAAGATGCCTCTTTTAAGCCTAAAAATAATCTTTCGCGTAAAGTAGAAAGCAATTCAAAAATTCATTGGATATTAAGCTTTAATCGAATATTTTCTAAATAATCAGTAAAGTAGAACCCTTGACGTAAATTTCATCTTATCTGGGGATTGTCAGTTGAATATACCTAAATCCCAGTGTTCATGTTCTCGCCAAAACACAATCTTAGTATCTTCCACTTTGAATACTTAACTAGTTACCTCTTGAGCTACTGAGTTCATATAACAGTATGTAATGTCAACAATGGGAAGATATAAACGGCGAGACTATAATTTATGGACGAACCAGTCAAGTATAAGATAACAGGCCTCAAATTTTAGCGTGAAATTCACTCATCCACTTGGCTAAATAGAGTTCTGACATTACAGTTGATGTCAGTTCATGATGAAAACCCTAACTTTTACCATCAAGTGTAAATCATAATTCAAATTTCTCACATTGGTTTATAACCCTCATTTGGTCCTAGTTATTAGGTGGACATTCTCAAGGTCACTTTAGCATCGTTCAAAGGTCGTCCATAAATTATAATCTCACCGTCCCGATGATTTTCACTGAATTCATAAATTCATGAAGAAGTTCTATTTATTAGCCAAAGTAATTAGACAGTTCATTGGTATAATTCATCATTTAAATTTAGATTTTCTGAAAGACACTATTTGCATTGCAATTAAATTTGTGATGAGTCACTGGTGAATATTATTTATTTATATGTCAGTAAAGTTTTGGTTCAAATCAAAATCTTTAATCTTGTTTTGTTTTCATGTTAACTAAAATAATAATTTTTCTTAAGTCTTCATTTGGAAATGTTTTTTTCTAAATAAGGGAGTTGACAAATGATGCTTCCTCTCCTAATTCTGTTGACATATATATATATACCAGATAGTAAATCAATAGATCGGAATACAGTTGTCATATTTTCAGTATCAATCGATCGTAGCATAACAGTAATTTCTATCCAATCAGTTGGTCATAATCAACTTAAAGCCTGGTATTTATGTGTATTCGTTTAAGCAGAAAAAGATGTTATTAACAATATGAATATAGGATGAATCGGAATAATGTGACAGCAGTGATAATAAGACGAACTAAACATTAAAAATTGGAGACGAGTGGTGGCTAGCAGTAGAGTCTAGAACGCACATTTCGTCCTATGTTGGACTTGTCAACTCCAGGTACCTACACTCCAAATTTGATGTTTACTCCTAGACAAGAATCCAGTACCGTTCAACAGATGTAGGTACATTCAATTAACGAGACCCAAACAGTGCGAAATGTGCTCCCTGAAACTTAATGCTAACCACCACCCATCTCTGACCAAGATGCTTGCGACTTAATGGCAACATCGAGAAAATCCGCACAGAATGCATATATGTCAAAAGAGAAGGATCAATTTCAGTCCTAAACATCAATGGGAATATTCAAACAAGTGACACACACTTCAACTAAGAAATGGGTTCAACAAAGAATTAAAGGTTGTATTTGAATTAATACCAGAGCATGTATCTATCGTTAACGACTGACCCCATAACTAACGAATTTCAACTAGAAATTTGTGAAATTCACCACTTACTTGTATACATTTATGACATACCAGGATAGTTTATGGAAATTTGTGTAATTTCAAGACAAATTTCATGAAGAATAGATATTAGTTTAGTGAATTATTATAAAGCAGTGAAGCTGGCTTATTATCCACTATAAATTGCATAATAAATACTAATTTTAAAATATCTAATCAGTGAGAAAATTTTACTTGCCAACCAACTTTTCATACTACTATTAATTACGCGTAATACTGTCGTCATATATCGTTCGGTAAGTAAAGTCTCCTATTTTGATCTAATTGAAATTTTTTTTGCAGTTATTTTATTCCAGATGTCAGTGACTTCAATAGCTCATTGTTGATTATTATTTTAGTGGAAACAAATAATCATCGTTAACTAGTCATGCTGTAACTGAATTTCGAGCCGTCAGTTATTTTCATTGCTTCTAAAACATTTCCAATTTCTAATCATAAATCCTAAAACACAACCATCACTTCAGCGGATATTAATTTATAAGTCCGCTTGTAACACATTGAAGATCGATTATTAGAAAATTAATTCATAGAACGAATTCATCAGAAATCGTAAAACCTATTTAAAAAAACGTTCACAACAATTAAATTACTAGTGAAGCAAAAACGTTCTTGGTCACTGTGACTATACTGAAGTATATGCAAATTGGTATGATGAATTGTTCCCATCACTCATCCCGTGAGCGAGATCGTGGATGCGCACTGCTAAGGGGTCCCACGATAGGACAAAACGGCCGTCCAGTGCTTCCAGGCTTTCAATGGTGGTCTAAAATCAATCGGTTTGTGATCTCAATTAAAAACGTAATAATCTTCTCAACTCCATACTGATTATTACCATGTGCTCAGTAGTGACTAGCTTCGTGAGGGAATTCTCGGAGTTCTAGTGAGAAGCCGTGATCAGTGGAGCTAATCCGTGTCGAGAAGAGACAGGTATCTACCTCAGTACAATCAAAAATGGTCGCAAAATTTCGTGAATTAGCTGAGGTTAGACATT